TTTAAATACATTCTACTCGTATTTCAATTCACAAGTATTACATAAATCCTAAGTCTCCAATTAAGTGGGGCTTATTAGAGAATCCTCTTCCTATCCAACGTATATATAGCTTGGCGATCCTACCTCTTTCTCTGGTGTAGATCGAGGCGCGTTAGCAGAATTTCCCAGTTTTGTTTCGAAAGCTTTAGACACAAGATAGGAGAAGAAGACAAGGGAGTCACAGGTACTGGCAAAATGCTTGGTCTTTGAATTAGCCGGGCCCTCCCACCAGCGGCTGCACCCTACTCCCTGACCACTGCCGACTAGGGTGGGGGGCAACATGCATCCCCTTAATTGTGAGACGTAGGGGTGCCCTGTATAGGCTTAGGAGTAGTGGTAGGTAGGCAGTGAAATGTGAAATTGAGAGAAGAATGTAGCTTAGTCTGAGTTTGGCCTAGCCTTGGGTAAGTAAGGGGAAGGATGGTAGGATGCGTCCATGGGCGCCAACTTGCCTCGCCTAGGTACTCCTGCTGGGTAGACTCTCTGATATTGGGCCTGTAGAAGATTGCATGAGTCTGGCGTCCGAAGTCTTCCACTAGGGCTGCGGGGCTACCCAGCCTTGGTGCTTGTCACTGCTGTCTGGTCCAAGTTGCCCTCAATACTGGTAGGGTGACGGTCCTGAGTGCTGGTCACACTGACGCCGAGCCTTGCCTAGCCTACAGCTACAGGTAGCGGGGTTGACCTCCATTCATTCACAAAACAAAAATGGAAAAAGAAAAACAAAGAAATCAAACGGAAGGGGGAGAGAGAGAGAGAGAGAAAGGGGGGGGGGGGGGGGGGGGGGGGGGAGGGGAGCCAGACAATCATGAAAACGGAAGTGGCCTTATTGGCAACTAACCAAAAATGACAACTGTTCAACACAGCAGGCAATTTCTCCTTTACCTTTGTCCACCGAATAGATTGTATTGGGAGGAACTTCATGACATGCTGGTCTCCACCGTGAAAGCATCTCATGCTCATGAAGAGCCTATAGAGTACAGGCTACCATCTCTTCCCGAATAGAACATACAGTCATCATCGCTGTAGCTTGACGGCTGCACGTTCTATTCCGGGGGGAAGACGGTGTGGCAATCAGCTGGGAATCTTGCCTTTAGTGACCTCCCTTGCGAAAGCCTCTTTCTTGTGCTCAAGAGCCTAAGGAGTACAAGCTATGGCAAATGTTCTTGAGGATATAGGCATACAATTTGCTCCCATCCAGACCTATATCCTACCCCATTGGCCTGAGGGGGAGGCTGGTGGTCCGTTGTGGGCCGTAACCCGGCTTGAAAGTCCGCGCAGGCCATTGGATGGGGCGGATCGATGGGCGGGGTGTGCGCAGAGCCGGTTTTCCACCGGTTTGTTCACAGCGCGCCAGTTAACGTGGTGAGGGCGGCCATGCGTGTGGTGTGCGATGAGTGTTGATCGATTGGAATATCTCGCAAGCGGAACTGTCTGATGGCTATGACAAATGTTCCTGAGGATATAGGCATACAATTATCCTACCCCATTGGTCTGAGGGGGAGGATGGTGGCCCGCTGTGTGCCGTAACCCGGCGTCAAAGTCAGCGCAGGCCATTGGATGGGGCGGATTGATGGGCGGGGTGCGTGCAGAGCCTGTTTTCCACCGGTTTGTTCACAGCGTGCCAGTTAACATGGTGAGGGTGGCCATGAGTGTGGTGTGCGACGAGTGTTGATTGATTGGAATATCTTGCAAGGGGAACTGTCTGATGGCTGCCGTTTTGTCCCCTCCCGGCTTTTTTGTTTTTGTATTTTGTTTCCCCACGTTGTTGTTTCCTGCCACGGGAATGATGGAAATTTGTGTTTGGGTTGTTTCGTGTTCGAAAAAGGCAAAGAAATGGCACACACAAAGAGAAGGGGTGGGCAGCCACCCACCTGCATGTGTGTGCCTGCCCATGCACAGGTTTGAGATATGCAACTGTCTGATGAGATAACTGTTGAGGTAGACAGGGTCTCTGTCTGATTTTGGGGACCCTTTTTTTTTTGAAGTGTATCACGTGCCAGGCAGCTGGCATGTCAGGATGTGTCTGTGTGTCCAAACCCTAACCTTGCAACAGTGTGGAGAACCGGCTGAACGGCAGAAATCGAAAATGCGTCGAATCTGGCATGTCAGGATGTGTCTGTGTGTCCAAACCCTAACCTTGCAACAGTGTGGAGAACCGGCTGAATGGCAGAAATTGAAAATGCGTCGAATTGCTGCGATGATGCATTTTGCAGCCATAATTCTTTTTTTAATGAGAATCCTAGAAATATCACAACGAAATCTACGGGCCCTAAAATTTTTATACTTTGTCTTATATTTTTCTGAGCTTTAAAAATTTTACGCCACTACGCCATGTGTGGTCCAACAGAAAAAGTACATGGCATAGTGGCGTAAAAAATTTATACTTAAGTTTTTCTTATATTTTTCTAAGCTTGAAAAATCACCGAAGATGCAGTACTTTTTCTGTTGGACCACACATGGCATAGTGGCGAAAATGGAAAGAGCTGTGAATTGGCACGGCAATTATTTCACGTTTTTTTTTTTTTTTTTTTTTTCATGGACTTCTCTAGCTCCTGGGAATGCAAACACACCTTCTCTAGATCCTGGGAATGCAAACGCACCAAGAACCATCCTTTTTTCTGGACCCATTCAGCACCTCTTCACCTTTCTTTGTGGCGCCAGATCTTAATGACTAAAACCAGTGCTGTGTTTCCTGGGACAGGGAAGGTGGATGGATGCCGCTATTCTGTTTGAAGCTTATATAATCGCCTTTCTCCTTTCTTGGGGTAAACCCTTAAACCCCTAAACCCTTGCTGCTGCTATCCTGTTTGCTGCTTATGTAATGACAAAAACCAGTGCTGTGTTTCCTGGGACATGGGGGGTGGATGGATGTTGCTATCCTGTTTGCTGCTTATATAATCTCCTTTCTTGGGGTAAACCCTTAAACCCCTAAACCCTTGCTGCTGCTATCCTGTTCCCATTTTTCCATCTTTGCTTCATCCATCTCTCCCCTACCGCGCCATTCCATCCCTACCAGGCAGTTTGATGGGGGGGAGGACTGGAAAGAAGTCGGGAACTTCTTCGGGGACTCGAAAGAAGTGGAAAACTTCTTCGGGGACTCGAAAGAAGTCGGGGACTTCTTCGCTGGGTCTCATTAGAATAGCTGTGTCTTGCAGAATCCCTTCCAGTTTTC